GCGCGCGCGCGCGTGCACACGCAAAAAATAACAACCACAAAGGAAGCAGATCAAGCTAGCTTCAGGTCTCTCCAGGTATCAACACATCTGCCATTCCTATGCAGGCGCATGAAGAAGATGAATTCGCCCCCCAAAGATGCAACACCCCGGCTGCCTGAAAGCGCTGGTTCTGCTCTTGCTCCTGTGCTTTGAGAGCATCCTGCTCCTTAGTACTTTGGCTTGGCAATTGTACCGCGCACCCACTCCCTGAATTCGTAGAGAGTTGCTCTTCAAATGGTACATTTTCCGTCTCGCAAGTCAGAGAACTACGCTCACAGGCGAGGTTCGAACTGGGAATACGATGCCACTTGCACAGCGGTACAGGCCCGAATAGACCTGAACCCTCAACTGCCGGACCTGACTCTACATCTCAAGGGCAGAAGACAAGGCCTCCACCTGAGGACCCGGCCTGACGGTACTGGCTGTCCAGGTTCTGCCGCATGTCCTCCATCTGTGTGACGTAGGCCTTGCGGATCTAAGACCGGAAAGTACTTGAAGCATGAAGTCCCAACTTCATGACTTCATGCCAATCCTGCAAACTGCGCGGAGACTGCAGACAGAACAGGTCATCCACAATGCCTGAAGCTGTCAACCGGCTCTACACGCCCAAATCTACGAGAATTCAAAGCGTATAATTTTACAGTGCCTGCTAAAACAAACGGGTTCTTGCATCTGTTGAGGTCCTTGCGGGACGAATTCTTCATCTAAGCTCTCACAGGTACATCCAGAAATCAAGACTCCAAGCTTTTCGGAAGCTGAGAGTAGGTCCACGCGCTGCGACTCCAGCTGTTCTGCCGCGGCAGCCAGGGCGTCGCGATGTGAGGCTTCTAGCTCCTCCCACAACCGGTTGTGCAGCTGAATGCTATAACATAGCGGTTTTAATATCTAGAACACTGTTTCGGGATATGCCATATATATTCTCGCATGGTTGTAATAAGGAACCCTAGGAACTATATTGGTGGTTCTTCCGGCCTCTGTGTATGGGGACGATCAGGGGTGTGGCGGAGCGATGGAAAGGACGTTTGCTGCACAGCTCATAGGGTTTTACGACGTCCACCCACGAGCCAAGCTGCTAGCCCAGTGGTTCATGTGGAGCAGGGGTGCAAGCATGAGGAGGACCTGATGTAGATAACACCTTGTGATCACAGTGCTGCGAGTTCCTGCAGCTGCTGCTGCTGTCGTGGGGCCACTGCTACTACTACTGCTGCTATTGCTGCTACTACTCCTCGCCCCTCCATGACCGAAGTCTCTACTCGTGCTGGGGCCGTGCATGTCCTCAGTTTGGACGGCATGTCGGCTGGACTCGTCTTCCAGCTTCGCCTTCAGACCTCGACAGGTGCGTCAGGAAGAAGCGCCAGGCTGACTGCCAGTCGCAAGGACTCTAGGGTGACACTCCTCTAAAGCCTCAACAGGAGAGGCAGGGAGAATGCTCGTTAAACAAAGACTAAGATTGCACTCTCGCTCGTAGGCCCAGGTCACGCTCGGGGTCCGGCGTTGGTTCTCAGCCTCCAGCTGCTCTATTTGCTCCTTGCGCCCAGGGCCCCTCAATACAAAGTTCCCTCCTCTGACACCCCCTGGGGTTGGGGTTTCGGCGCTCACACCCCGACAAGGGCCACGATTCTCAGCTTCAGGGCTTACAGGGATTTGGAGTAGAGCTGTCTAGACTGTACAAGATTCGATGACGCGAGCTTCTGGGTTCGATGATCGATGGGCGCTAAACACAAACAAATCGAGGCTGGCAACACACCCCGCGACCCCTACACAACGGTTCAACAGCGTAGACTGCCCAAGGGGGAAGGCCGTGCTACCATAATGCACAACTCTCGGAACATGAGCTCTGCCGGCGCAGACAACACCCAGATCGTTAATCCAAATGTGGGAAGGCTTTTTGTCGGTCTCTGCTGTGTGCCGTTCAGGGTTCGCTGTCGGCATCGTGAAACACCATCATGATATTGTTGGCTGCTTCTGCTTCGCTGGAGAGATGGATGAGCGATGGATAGCAATATTCAGAGGCCACAGAACCTATAGAAGCAGCAATATTCACGTTAGCGCGCCGGAAAGAAGCGCTTAAAAAATACATTTGACAGCCGGTCTGGCTATTAGCCCGGCTGCACTCAGGCACATGTAGCCCGGCACTATTCGCATAGGTGACACCAGGTTAAACAAACGGCGTTCTAAAGTAAGGCGTCGAAACATGGACTCATTAAAGAAATGAAGTCAACGGTCATAAAAAGTAGCCCTAAGGAATAACATCGGTAATTACTCAGGCTTCTAGATAATTTGGGCCTTGGGCCAGGACTTTCGTGTGAAATTGGCCACTAGTCCCAAGCTATTGCACTCTGCGGGTGCCGACAGCTCAAATGTCAACAGAGTCACCTCGGCTCCTAGCAAACCTAGTACTTCCCAGTGGACACTGCAAAGGCACCTCGCAGTGTAGAGACAGCGCGTTTTTGTTGCTTGAATTCGTGCTGTCATGCTTTCGACGGAAAGAATGCTGGGAAGAGAGTTGTTGCTGTATTTATGTCGTTGTTGTGTCTTGGTCAGACCCTTTGCTGGGAAGGCCGTGCTCAGCACTAGCGATCAAGGAGACAGCATCGACGCACCCGTGCTACACACTCCGTGGTATAGTGATATACGGACTTTAAGGGGCACCACTGAGATTGAGATTCCTGCTATGTTGAGAGCATCTACATGACACCTTGAGAAGCTTCTTCTCTAGCATTTTCACTTTGCGGAACATGCCAGGGCCAACAGTCCATTGAATGTTGAAACCCGCCATCTGCAAACCCTTACATCCCAAACCCTAAAGCTCCTAAACTCGAAACCATGAACCCCTCCCCCCCCCAAAAAAAAACAGCAGCCATATATATATATATATATATATTTCATGTATGTCATTCCTGAACCCTACACCCCTGAAGCACCATGTCTCTGCTGGCCCCTAGATGTTGGGAGGACCAAGGGCCGGCGAGTTCGGCAAGCGGCCCTCCTGGCCCTCTGGCACTGATGGCGCTGATGCTCCGTTGCCCAATTTTATGGGTTTAGGGAACCCTACACGGCCCTAAACCCTCCTAACTTTAAACCTTCAAGATGTCAGAGTTACTGTCGCATTTAAACTTTAAACTCTAAACTTTAGATATCTTATGGCTACTCTTTCAGGGCTTAGCCCGTAGATCACATCAGAAGCTGACAAGCTTATGGAATGACTCCTTCATACAGGGAAGGACGTGTTGTGGTGGCCCTGTCTTTGCTACAGTACCCAGGGAGCACGTATGTTTAATGCCTGTAGACGGTACAAGTGGCGAAAACACCGCAAGTATCGATTAGCATCGCATTGATCATGTCCATGTGTGTGTTAAACGCTACAGAGAAACCGGGGGTCCAGTTTTGTGATAGTTTGTCTAGTTCTTTCATGGGATATGGCACCATGTATAGTGCAGGTTTACATTACATGCTCCGAAGCAAACCCAACACCGCGAATTAGGAAAGTAGCAAGGACCTTCGAACCCAAGTTGCCATATCAACCAGTGCTAAGATCCAATACTTGTGGCGGGCGGATATAGCACAGCTTATTTCTTCTCACCTCAACCATATTTGAAGTACCATGTGCATGATATCGGGTTGTATGTAATATCTCTAGTGCCAGGTAATGCTCAATCTTTTTGACCAAAACCCTGACCCAATACGGAACGAACACTTGTTCGGCACTGAATATTGGACAATGCGTAGCAAATATTGGGGTATTTTAGATTGGTATGTAGACTGGCATGCAGCTAATACATCTAGTTTTTAACATTCCTCCACTGCTCGTCTGATACCTACCTACACACACCCTGCCCAACAAACGATATTAATGTTGCACTGAAGTGAACAATCCGCTTAAACACATGCTTGCTAGTAACCTAGTGCTGAGGTAACATCTAGACACCAATGTGAAGAACCATTCATCAGAGATTAAGCATGGGTAACCAGCATATATACGTATTTTTATGTTACTGTAAGCTAAGCTGTCTACTGTTTCATTAACATTCGATCGAACATCTACCCAACCTCATCTCTGATGAGAATCTCACGAACCATTGGTTCTGCATGTAGCATGATATGACTTGTCCTCAAATGAATGCTGTGTTCGTGCTCTTATCATGGTTTAACTTTTCACAAAAAGTCTTCGCTAGTCTTTTCACAAGGCGTCCGCCAATAAGCTACCATGTGTTCAATAACTGTTTATTTAACTAGACGGACTGAATAGCCATCCATCCAAACCTACACCTGATATTGATTCATGAACACAGCTTTCAGACACTATCCATGGACCGGTAGCGATTGGATAGTAGCTGAATTTTCTTAACGGCTATCACGCGTTCAAACAGTTCAGTGACCGCTGCTTAATACTATCCAGGGCTATGAGATTAACTGTGGTTACATGTTGCCCAAAAGTTCAACTGCAGATTGCGTATCCCATTTCATTGGTTAAGCACTTGCCTGTCATCGCTTTGACACTACTTGGATGTGATCACATTGAGTTTACGTATACTTGTACCTTAAATGTGCTCGAAAGAACAATGGATAAACAGCCGACATACTGATAACTTAACCGTGAGTAGATGGGTGATCTGAGCGGAGATGAAACGATGTAGAATGAAACATATTTTGATGTGATACGGCCTGGATGCCAGATGCTTCACCAGGCTAAAGACATGTATCGCAAATGCTCAGTACATGATTAACAGTACCTAAGTTAATGAGCTAGCCCTTTCTCCAGAAATCTGCAACCGAAGGCAACAGCATTCTCAGAGGGCTTGTGGGAATGACAGCAGCTTGACTGCAATCACCCCGCTGCCTTGTGTACTGTTGACTGTCCCATCTGCCCCATATTTTCACTGAGCACATCCACATATTGAGAGAACTTCCCAACGATCCTTTCGAGATGCTGAGCCGAGCACACACCTATGCCTGGAAACTCAAGCTCTGCCGCAGAAGCACGCAGGTGGCGTGTAGTTGTCCGCAGCCTCGCGCAATTGGAGGACAATCTTCTGAGCAGATGGCCGCTGCTGATGGCTGATATGCCAACTTTCAGCCATCAGCCCCCGCAGCGCGGCATGGCACTCTGTAACATTTGGCCTCGGCTCCTTGCCCAGAGAGAACTCTCTCAAAACAACTTCTGGATCTTTGGATATCTCGTGGAAAGGGTGCCGTCCGGAGCTCATGAAGAACATGATGAGGGCAAAAGCATAGATATCCACCTTCTCGTTGTATTGCTGATGCCTGACGACTTCGGGCGCCATGTATAGCCAACTGCCAACTCCACCGGTCATGATGTACACGTCACCGACCACGGCTGCCATCATCTTCGAAATGCCAAGGTCTGCTATCTTCACTTCGCCGTGTCTCGTCAGCAACAGGTTGAGCGGCTTGAGGTCCCGATGAACGATAGGCTCCTCTCGGGTGTGCAGAAAGCTGAGGCCACGCGCAACCGCTAGACTCCACTCCAAGACCTGATGGAATTGCGGTCGCCAGGTGGGCGTCTGGTGCTTCTTTCGCATGGCCATGAAGTGGCGCTCCAGATCTCCACCAGGCATGTACTCTGTGACGCACAAGACAGGAGAGTCCCTGTCCAAGCAGGCTCCAATGAACAGGACCAAGTCTGGGTGCCGTAGGGAGGAAAGGAGCTCGATCTCGTGCAGCAACTCTTCCAGGAGGTCCTGGTTGACCTCCGAGGCATGGAGCGGACGTGAGGCGGTTAAATCGAACTTCTCCTTGGAACTTTTTCGCTGAGGTTCGTCTTTCCTATCATAAGTCTCCGGGACCTCAACGCATTTCATCACAACATCTGTACCTTTCCATGTAGCCAGGTACAGTGTGCTCTTCAGCGTTCGGCTGAGCTCTCTTTGCATCTCGAGCTCGCTTCGACGAAGCTTCCACCGAGCGTCCGCCGCCCGGCCAAGGAGCTTGCTTCTGCGACCCAGTTTCCTGCCGGAGTCTTCTGTGGACAGCGACTCCTTCGTGTGCACCGGAAGGTCGACGACTTCCACATCCTTGGTCTCGCACGTCTCACCGATTCGAGCCTGTTGCATGCGGAGATGATCCTCGTCGCTGAGGACTGGCATCGCATTCACGGAGATCTGGCTGCTGTGACGGGAGGGTATCTCCTCCAACCCCACCTCAGGGGCCTCCTCTGCGACTCCTGGATCTTCCACATGGGCCGCCTTCGGGCTTGGCGAGCTTTCCACACAGCACCAGAACATGGCTCGATGAGTCGAGGATGGAACAAGGAAGCCAAGTAACCTCTCACTTACTTTCTCCGTGCTGGGGCACATGCGGGGACCTGCGCAGCGGATCTAGAATCTAGACAATGGGCACTACTGGTTGCAATGAGCCCTTGAGCCGAAGTTGAAGGATGCCGCATTCGCGGGCTTCAACTTATGCTTGTGACCATGTCTGGTGTGCCTCTCTTGCCCTAACACTTAGCACCTCAGACTTCACTTCATGCCAGAAGGACCACTCATGAGCTAAGATGAAAGCCCAGATATCGTATTTTGCAGTGTGAGACTCTCCGCTTCTCGGCTCAAGGCATGTTGAGGACTTAGGGTTCTTCATGGTTGGCAGCTTTCAGTCTAGCAAGTCCGAGGTATGAGACGCCGAAAGCGAATTGTTGATCTGCCTTGGCAGAGGCCTACGCCCTTGGGTGCAAAGTCGACGTCCGCGAAAACACAAAGGTGACCCACGTCTTTGTGTACGATCTCGGGTAAATAATCTGAACTCCACCGATGCAAAGACGACTCTGGATTCGTAGCGCCCTGCACAACCCAATTCTGAAACCTGGTGTGCTCTCTCTGTTTTTTTTGAGGGGGGAAGCAGCGGGCGTCCCATTCTTCGGCTTCATCTACCCTTTATTGGAGCTCGCCCTTTTGCAACGGCCTTGTCAGATCTCGACCGGACTCATAGGAGCTCGCACTAAACCCTGAACCCCTAAACCCCTGAACCCCTAAACCTACTGAACCCCTAAACCCTAAACCCCTAAACCCTAAACCCTAAACCCCTAAATTCCTAAACCCCTAAATTCCTAAACCTCTAAACTCCTAAACCCCAAACCCCTAAATTGCCCCCCAAGCCCCCGGGAGCTCCTTGAGCTGTGCCTCGCTCCGCTGAAACTCGCTGGCCTGGCCAGGTCCCAGGGCAGATCCAAGCCCCCAGGGACTTCAAAGAGTAGGAGTTTCAGAAAATTAGGGTACCTTATTTTGGGGTCCTTATAATAGGGATCCTATTAATAGAGTAGACCAACCAACCTAGCAATACCGAAAACGTACTTTATTAATATATATATATATGCATGATCTACCAATCAAGCTATCAATACCTGCAAACTTCTCTAATAGATACATGACCTACCAATCAGCCTAACAATACCCAAAAATTGGGTAGTAGATTGTTGGGCTGGTAGGTAGATAGCTAGCTAGCTAGATAGATAGATAGATAGATAGATGGATAGATAGGTAGATAGATAGATAGATAGATAGATAGTTCTGTATAAAAAAATAAACATAAACACACATATATATATATATATACATATATATATATATATAATGTATACATACATGTACATCTCGATCCTATATACGATGAACCGATTTGTGAACACTATCTTTTGTTCAAGGGGCCCCGGCCTGCCGCTGGAAATCAGCTCCCTGGGTCTCGGCATCCTGCTTGAACTTGGCCACCTCAACTTCATGCTGCGTCTGCAGCTGCTCCTCAGCATCTTTGGCCGAGGTGAGCTGCGACCGGAGCTGGCGCAGCTCCTCGTTGTGCTGCTTTTGTATGGCCGATTTCTCCTCCTGCCACGCCTTCTCCGCCTCCTGCCGGAGGTCCTCGGCTCGTTTCCGCTCTTCCTCGGCGGCTGCGAGCTTCGCCTGCTCCAGCTTCTGTCGCTCCTCTTCCAGGCGTCGCTCCTCGGCCTCCTTGGCAAGGCGGATCTTCTCTTCCTCCAATCTCCTCCTCTCTTCCTCCTCCTCTTTCTGGAGCCTTTCCTGTTCCTCCTTGTCGCGCTGCTCCTGCTCTCGCCGCTGCCGCTCCTGCTCCTCTCGCGTGGCCCGCAGCTTCTCCAGCCTCTGCCGCTCTGCCTCGGCCTCCCGCTCATCCTCCGAGTCCACCTCGCCGTCTTCCGTGGCTGCCCCGGGGTTGGCGGCGATGTAGGCCCGGAACAATCGGCTGCGCTTCCGCTGCCCGGGCTTCATGCGGTTCCACAGGTGGACGCGGGCAAGATACCTGCGCAAACTGACAGGCAAGGTGCCATGAAACGTGGAAGTTGCATGCTTCACGGTCCGTGCCTGCGAACAACCGCCTGGACGAGGATGGCCTTGCTTCGGATCATGACGAAGATGGTGCGGAAGATGTAGACGCGCCAGGCACGCTGCAGACAGGGGTCAAGCATGAAACATGTACAGCTGCAAGGAGATGCAATGAGCTGCAATTCCTGAGTCAAACTGAATTCTCGTAACGCACCTGGATCTTCTTGGCTGAGTTTCCAAGCATCGCCATCCGCATGCCTGGCGCGAGCATGCAACTGCGACTGCACATAGTGGCATTGCACAGCCTGGCAAGTGCCCCTGCGGTGCAATGCGGACTTTTTCGGCCCGCGGCTTAAGACAAGCTCGGGCGTTGGCTTCATCCATGGATGATCGTAGCTTGCAAAGTGCGCCGGGCTGTGCTGTGTGCAGGAGGGCCCCAGGTCACATTGAGGTCTCTTCAGAGGGGGAGAGCACCCAGCTCCAGCTTCGAAGGGAAAGTAGTCAATACCCGGTACACGCCGAGTCAGCTCAACTTCTCGGATTCCTGCGATGCCACTGTTTCCACCAGGCTCACCCTGCCAGAACGCACGTCGGGCCGGCGATGTCGCACGGAGGCAAAGCTGGCAGAGGTCGCCATCGGCAAGACGCACCCAGCCGAGACCTGCCGGTGCACCGGCCGACGAGATCGGTTGAGTGCCGTGGCCACGAACAAGGAGCCAGCAACTCTCCACCGGCTGACCGCAGCGCCCGCAGACCGGTGCATGGCTCCGTTTCTTGGACTTCGCATAGCGCGAGGCTTTCGGCACTGGCATGGTGGCAGGGCAAACGTTCACCGAATCGAAAGAGGCGGCGAAGTCGTCGAAAAGCATCCAAAAAGATCCATCCTGCTGTCCACTGTCTAGCCTATGCCCTCCACGTTGGCAGATGTCTCGCGCTACATGAGAGTGGAGCTTCCAAGCATCGGACCCTCGGCACCACCGACCTCTCCATTCTTCCTTGCCCCAAGGATTGCGCAGCCGAATGAATCGCAAGCTATGTATTTCTTGAACCTCCAACACCGAATATGCATGGCCTTCGATGAGGCCATCATCCCTGCGTCGTTCAGTCATGCCCCCTTTGGATATGGAAGCGGCCAGGAGGAAGTTCGCCTGTTCGTAGTATGCCAGGCGTAGAAAGAACTGCTCTAGAGGAAGCGTCCGGTTGGTGATTTCCAGTGCGGCACCTTTGACATGTGATTTCGACCAGATGGGCGTCTTGAAACGAAGCTTCCTGCAGGGCTTTCGTGAGACTCCAGCAACAACTCTTCAACTCGACATCCCTCTCGCTAGAGGTTCGATGCGAGAACTACCCTTGCCCCGCGTGTCGATGAGGGCCTACAGGTGGCGATGGCACTATGATCCAGGACTGCCAGGGCCAGAGTACCAACACCCCACCTATACACCTGCATTACAAAGAGACCATCCACTATATACTATACATAATAATCCAATCCCATTAATATATATATATATATACTCCCCAAGACCCCAATAGGTTTCAGGCTCGGCCAACCTCCAATGAGCTCCTTCCCGCTGCCACCGGAGTTGCTCGCGTTGGCCGGTCAGGGCTTGGAAGGCCAGCTCAGGAACCCCACCTGTGCATTAAAAAAGCCCTGCTGCTGTGGATTGCAACCAAAAAGCTTCACGTTGCGAATCGTGGGCTGGGGGGTCGGCTCAGCTTCGTCAAGAGACATTTGTAGAACTTGATTTGTTTATTTGTTGTGCTCGGTTGTTCTTTCTAAGTATTCAAGAATCTTGCTCCATCCTAAGACGCCCGGAGTTGAAGATCAGGTCGCCTTCCAAAGCGCCGTAGGACCCAGCCAGCTTGGCAAAGGCTTTCCTGGGATTTGGTTCATGAAGGGTTTGGACTCTCGCAACTCGGACTCTTGCAGCCTGCAGGGTTTTTGACGCGATAGAGACGGTTTTTGTTAGTTGAGTTCTTGCGGGGCTGGGACTCCGCAGTAGGGCTTCAGTTTTAATTAGCAGAGCACGTGGGTGTAAGATGCAGGCATTTCTCCTTGACGGTCGTTCTTTGTTTTGTGCTTGCTTGCGCGTTCTCGCCTGTTCCTTCTGGCCCTCCTTGCGCAGGACCGAGGGCAGAACCCCTATAAGTATAAGGGAGCACGCCCTCTTTTGGTGGTCTGCTTGGGGTGGATCAGCTGGCCGTATTTCCCCTCGCTCTCCCCTCTGGCTTTTCGTTTCTCCCCTCTCTCCCTGTCGCTCTCACTCAGCCCCGGTGCAGTTCAATGTTGTTGTTCTGACTTTGCACAGGGTTATATTATGTCTCCCCTGTGCAGAGAAGTTTACTGAAAGCTTTAAGTCACCATGACTTTAAGCTTTAAGTCACCATGAAAGCTCCGGGCCCCGGAAGCCATCTCTTCGGCTAAGCTGCTCCATGAGCAGGGACCACACTTCACCTTCCACAGGTTGTGAAAAGCAGGGTTTGTCCCCTGCAAGGAAGGTGCCAGGGCCGGCCCAAACAGGTAAGGAGAAGCAGGGCACCAGGTCATCGATCTCGATCGATCGCCAACCTTGCACCGCCACACATCTCACAGCACGAATCTACCAGCAAAGTGGACATAAACACAGGTGTGCTTCTAATACAGGTCATACAGTGTTACAGTGTGCCATACATGTTTACTTTTTATTGTGCGCCCATGTTCACACAGAGAATGAACTAGAAAGAGAGAGAGAGAGAGAGGTAATGCTAGAAACAAGACACAGTAGAATGTCAGCTGCGACCCAAGATGCCGGACTCGGTGTGGTAAAGCTGAACCACATACCGTCCGTCTGCCGACAGACTTGAAGGTTCAAGCAGCATCTCAACGTGACCAGGAAAATCCGCGACACAGGCCAAGGCCCCAATGAGCCAGCAGTTGCCCAAGGAGCCTTGCCGCACGTTGCTGGAATATTCACGGGAAGAGCCGGCGGCGGAATGCCCAAAGAGGGTTATCCGGCCTTGCCCGCGAATGTTGCTCACACGAGTCCATGCGATGTCCACCGGAGGCAACCGTCGCGCTGGCCCCAGCGATGCCTAGGTTTCCAATAACAATAACTTCTGCATCATGTGGGTAATCCCCGAACTTTGGTCAGAGACTCCAGCCCACAACACATCCGGAAATACCCAAAAGCCTCCGACCTACGCGAAAAGATGCTTCTGCTCCAAGGATGCTTTGTTCGGAGGAAATGCATCGTCTACGAACCGGTGTACTGCCTCGCAGTAGACGAAATTGCTCCTAAGCCACTCCCGCTTGGTCTTTGCCTTTACTTCTTTTCTTACAGCCATGAACCCATCCATCTATCCCTGCACACCTACATGCAAGAAAACACACTCAAAGACCTGCACACGCATACACGCATGCATGGTGAATTCCTTTGGTGAGAGGTGGCTTCATCATTGGTGCATCTTCAAAGGCAGAGAGTTTCTTCGTCTCTTCGCCTTACATGAAAGTGTATCATGTCAATTACATGTATTTCTTCCTCGCACCAGAGCTGTCGTGTTGTTGGCAACGCTTCTCAACAGGCTCTTTTCGGGCGAGTATGCTTACGGCCTTGCAACAACGAGCCCGAACATCAGCGCAACCAAGCTACCCCATGCGCGACGACATCCTGATCCCCAACCCGACACGGAGCCCTCGACACACGACCAGCACCTCAAACCCTCGAAGCCCGCAATATGAAGTTCGCCAAAAACTTTCAGTCTCAGCCTTCCAAGACGCACGAAGCCCTCGACCCTTTACAACAGTGCTACCGCGATTTTTTAAAGGCAGCGACTTAACTTAAGCTCAGCCCCACTAAACCCTAAACCGCGTCCTCGGTCGTCTGCGTCTGTCAAGAAATCCATTCAGTCGCCACTTCCTAGATCTGTAGAATACAATGCGGCCGGGGGGGGGGGGGGGGGNNGGTTAAAGGCGGTTTTGGAGGGGCTTGAAGAATTTCAGTTTAGGTTACAGCAAAAAGATAAGGTTGTAGAGGGTGTTTATGGGCGGGGAACTTACATCGCTTTGGATAGCATATATAAGTTGCTAGAACAAGGTAGTGCTCGCACCAGTTACGGTACTAACACTAGACTAACATAACAAATCGTGGGGTTTACAAGGGTTTGAGTGTAGGGTTTTACGAACTACCAGAATAACAAAACTCTATATGTATTATGTAGCCATGGCCAATAATCAAAAAATACCTTCAAGAAAATCCCAAGCTCAGGTCCACCAATCCACAGCCTCGGCTTGGAAGAATCAGGGGTTGCCTCATACTGATTAAAATATGGTTGTTTGATCTATACTAATTATACTAGATCATGGTTATGATAAGGAACCCTAAGGAGTAGTACCACTATATAGTTCTACGTTTTGTTTGAGAGGCTTAAAGTTGCACCCTAAACCGGCCCTAAACCCAAACCCCGAGGCCCTCTAAACCCCAACGCCCTAACTGAGGATCTGCAGACCCGAGCTCTCTGCGAAATTTCGCTCAAGCTTGCTGCAAAGGTGGAGGTGCTGGACCAAGATAACTGACATCGGGATTTCGACTCGCAGTCTCGCATAAGGCAGGCAAGGCTCCACACACTTGGGGTTCAAGGTTTAAGGCTTTCGGGTTGAGGGTTTATGAATTTGGAAAAAGGGTTAGAGGTGTATCTTAGCACTACTGTGAAAAGGACCACTGCAGCAAAGAATAGTCTTACTTCTGCTACTGCTACTGCTGCTGCTGCTGCTGCTACTGCTGCTGCTGCTGCTACTGCCGCTACTGCTACTGCTACTGCTGCTACTGCTGCTACTAGTACTACTGCTGCTACTACTGCTGCTACTGCCGCTAC